GGAGGTGGCGGTGGGAGGTGGGCTCGAGGAGGAAATTACAATCAAGCAAACAGCACTTTGATACTCCCATGTATCCTCTCTGTAGAGTTTTTGATTCAGGCTGCCAAAACTGTCGCAGGATTTACAGTCACAAGACATAAACTGTTATTATCACTCATAATCAATTTGATATGTTTTACTATTCACAGTCTGGGGTTTATATTCTGTGTAAATGTTATGATTTAAGTCTCTTTTTGTTTTTAATAATGTTATATATCATAGGCAGAAGTCTTCTGTCACGTTATGTTAATACAATGTCTATACTGTACATCTCTTTAGTTGTCTACAACATACAGTGGTTTTTTGTCTCATTTATGTGCACATAATGTTTCACTGGATGGTTTATGCTGCGTGTCATGGTCCATATAAGAGGTTTATAACAAGTCCCAGGGTTAACTTTCCATGCAAATCTAGTGCAGATTGTAAACTGCTAATTACATAGACAGTATATCATTTCTGCCAGTAGGGAGAAATTACTGAAACAAACAGACCCAGTGATTAAAACCAGTAAAAACACTGTTTTAACTATAATTAATTATCAGTATATTATTATTCAGTGTAAGAGTTGCTGCTTTTCTTTGTTTTCTATGACATTAACCTGAATATGTTTAGGTTTCAGACCACACAAGATACACAAGAGTTATATAAAACAGAAGAAAGCAGCAAATCATTGCATTTGAGAGGCTGTAAAGAATATTTGTCCTTTTTGTTTGAAAAATCACTGAAACAACGAGTTAATAAAACAGTTGACAGCCTAATAATAAAAGAATCAATGAATCCTTTGATCTCCAGTCGGAAACACAAGACTTTATCGTCTATCAGATAGGCATGAACGTGGCGTCATACACAGAGGCGTGACCCCGACTGGTTTCCATTAAACATCGTAGCGCAGTCGCCGTCTTCAGTAAGCAGTAAAGGAAATGGTTGAATGTTATGCAGTCGTGCTGTCGGGTGGTAGCCAGAGAGAAATTAAACTTCTGACTTGTATTTATGAAGTTAAGGTGCAATGGAAAAAGATTTTTTTTTTTTTGTATTTAAGTAACTCGATTTCCTTTCCATTTGTTTCCATCTGATGGTTTAAACTTGTCTCTGAATGTTTCATTTTTTGGAAATTTCCTTGTATAAAGATCAAATGTTTGCCTGGTAATTAAATAAAATGACTTTGGCATGATTCTGATGTTTCTGCTTTCAGTTCACGGTTTATTCTTGGAGTATAAAGTAGCTTAAAATGGAAATACTCAAAGTACAGTACTTGAGTGAATGTACTTAATTCAAATTTAAAATTTAAAAAACTATATTTGTGGCTTTTATCTTTTAACCATCTTCAAAATCTTACTGGACAAATTTCCATGAAATTTTATTATTGTTAACTACGAAACGAAAATTAAAATATACAGGAAATGTTTCAGTTTTAGTCTTTGTCAAGGCATTTTTCACAGCAGCCATTTTAATATGAAATAGTAGGGTAAACCCAGCTGTTACCAATAATACTAATTAAGGTTTCACCCAGTTTAGTTGTAGTTTACCTTCCCAGTGAGCCAACATTCAAAATAGCAGCACCCTGACTCTATCAGACCTGAATGCAACAGAACCTTAACTAGCAGCGGTGACAAAAGCAGTAAAGTACACTGGTATACTGATCCAAAATAAAAAAATACTCTTAACTCTTAAAATGTACGCCGTAGAAAGTGGAGATATTTGTGTAAAACTATTTCTTTCACCTCTGTTAAATAGCGTCATTGGTGTTTACCCGACTATCTCATGTCAGAATGGCTGCTGTGAAAAAGCTCCATTGTGTTATATATTGTGAAAAGCTGACAAATAAAACATCCTCTTCCTCTTTGAATGTTTCATCATGTTTTAAGCAACAGCTGTGATCACACACCTGGTCCGTCCTCTGACCTATTTCAGGTCATTATTTGTGACACATTCGAGGACACTGGAAAAGTACAGTTACAGTTCGTCGTAAAAAGAAAATGAAACAAAAAGGAGTAGCTGGAAACAATCGAGGTAATTTGACTCAACCGGACTTGCTCAGCCTTCAAACTGTGATTAACTGTGAGTCACTGAGCCGCAGATTATCTCGATCACTTCTTCCTTCCTTCTCATGACCGGCGTTTTAGGTTTTTTATGGTTCAGTTGAGGACTCACTGTCAGCCCGCCTTTACGTCTGTTTCACCACGTGTGTCCTGATTTGGTGACAGTTAACAGTCTCACTCTCCTACTGCAGAAATATTCAGAACCGATAAGCTGCCACAGTTATATTCTGTTGTT